GGGGGGGGGGCAACAGTGGGAGGGCTTCTAGTGTCCTGGCCCCATTGCTAGACCTCCTGATGGCACCTGGTATTTTTGGCCACTGTGTGACAGAGTGTTGGACTAGATGGGCCATTGGCCTGATCCAACATTGGCTTCTCTTATGTTCTTATGAAGTGGCTCCTGCTCTATTAAAAAAGAATGTGTGAGGGAGGCTTCAAAGAGCTCAACATTAAGGGCAAACATTGCTGTGGTTCACCAGAGAAGTGATGAAGTGGAGTTTGCTCACAGCTTTGGCTAAAACAAAGATCCAGTTGGAAGAAGTTTTGTGCTGCATATAACATTTTCAGAGAAACCACCTCGTCACTTTATACAGGTATTACAGCCATTTCTAAATCTGCTTTTGGGGCCCAGGTACTGTGAGCCTGTTTTTATCACTGAAAAACAACAAAATGCTTCCTACATCAATATGCAAGGAAGGATCTAAAACAAGTTGGCAAGAATATACACTAAGTGCATTTGCTGGAAATCTTTATAATGTTCTCCCCTTAAAATCTATAATGTGTCCAGCAATAATTCAGCTCTTCAACTGGAAATGTAGTGGATGGGTTGCTGGTATAATATTATTAAGAAGTATGGAACATTCTCCTTTCTGAAAGTCTCCTGAGGCTTTGAAAATATCCCACACTTGTTACAGCCTACCCTATTCAAGATATTTTTATAACTGCCAGGAATAAATAATCTTTGGTTATGGTGGTTTTGTATTAACAGATAAAATTATTCTATTATAAACTGGAGATTTATAGTACCTCAGTGTTTCTAATTTTATATAAATGCATTTTCTTCATGAAAAAAAATCTTAAGAAGGACTGGTTCCTTTGGTGCACAATCCACAAACTAACTCCCATCCAGTGCATGCACAAACCTAGGGCTGTTCTTCCAGTGAACTAGGGTTGCCAACTCCAGGTTAGGGAAATCCCTGGAGATTTGGGAGTGGAGCCTGAGGAGGGTGGGGTTTGGGGGAAGGAAGGACCCAAACAAGGCATAGACTCCACTTTCCAAAGCAGCCATTGACCTGATGTCTGTAGTCTGGAGCTCAGCTGTAATTCCAAGAGATCTCCAGACCCCACCTGTAGGTTGCCAACCCTAAAAACTTGTATTCAGGGTACTAGTTCTGCAG